AATATTTAATCACATTTTTTTAAAATTTTAAATATATAGATATTAATTTGAATCTATATACACAAACTCGATATGAAGATTAATTTTTAGAATATTTTTAGGTAGATCAAAATTTTGGAAACTCATCAAGATATATTAAAAATTTTAAACACGATTCTCCCCTAAAATTTTAAATAAATATATGAAAAAATATAATTTTAAATTTCTATACTTTGTTCATATTTTGTTATTGATCCTTGTATTTTTTTGGTGTTTTAATCATTGTACTTTTATTTTTTACTGTTTTAGATTTCTTTACAAATAAAGTATAGGGATCTTAGAGAGATTTAAAATAATAAAAAATGAACGTACAGGAACCAAAAATATAAAAAAATACAAAGACTAATAACAAAACACGAATAAAGTACATGGACCTAAAGTTATGTTTTTTTCAAAATAGACATTGATTTGAATTGAAATAGATAGACATCTTTGGATTTGATTACTCTTTTTTAACTGATCATATTTAAATTTTAAATAAATAAAAATTAATTTTTATACATATAAAAAATGATAAATCATTATGAAATTTAACTACAAGCCTGAATATTCTATTTTACATACATATAAAAATAATAAACTATTTCGAATCTAACCTAAACTTGACTTCAGAGCACATGATTTCAAAAAAGGTATTTTGAAGTATAAAATTACAACAAACTTAAAAATGGATACATGATATTTTTTTTATAATTTTTAACCCTACTTATATATATATGTAATGATTAAATAATTAATTTTTTAAAAAATGATTATTAATTTTTGTCCAAAATCATAACGATCATTCGGCATTCAAGTCAAATCTATACCCTTTTTTTAAAAAAAAAACAAAAAATCCCAAGCATTACCAATTAAAAACACAGCATATTGTCAAAGAACGACATTCTATCCTCTTCGCGTTGCTGGCTTAGCAATGGTTACCCCAAAGGCACTTCACATCACTATTCGGTATCCTACGTAAAATGTAGCGAAATAGCCCAATCGTATGAGTATGATGTTCGAGTATTATAAAGAAGAACACGCACTAGTAACGTGTTCAAACTCAGCTTTGTAATATGGCATATCATAATTTGGAAAATTTGTAAACAGTGTACTTATATATATTAATAATATATAGAAGAAAATAACAAAACAATTAAGTCGCACAAAGCATACTGAAACTTTTGTCCCTTATGTCCATAGTAATTAAGAAGAAAGTCGGTAAATTAATGTGCTATGCCCACAGATTACTCTCCCTTGTCTTTCATATGCAGTGAACTTGCCACCCAATACACACAAAAATAATAGGAATAGGAATAATCACAATTAAGTTTTAAGGAGACCAATTAATTTAAGTTAAGTCCTAACTAATTTTAAGGTGTCAATAAAGTCCCTTAGTCTTTTAGTGATAATAAGTTTAACATTTTCAAAAATTTATAAGTTCAACTCTCAATTTTATAATTTTATTGTAATGCATTTGTAACTTGTTTTTAAAAATTTAACAAAATTTAAATAATGAGAAATGGAGAAATGGAGAATTTATTTATTTTATTGATAAATAGGCAATAGGCAAAGAATAATCAATAGATTTAATATTTTCAACTTTATATTTGAACATTTGTGTTTCTTATTAAAATTTAATAAATAAATTATAAATTTATTACAATAAAATTGTAAAATTAAAAACCTAACTTGCAAATTTTTAGAGTTGTTAGACTTAACACTTTTTAATATTAAAGGTGAAAATGGTATTTCTTGTTAAAATTAGGAAAACAAGTTACAAATGCATTATAATGAAGTTGCAAAATAAGGAATCGAACTTAAAATTTTTTGAAACTACTAAACTTAATACTTTTCAACATTAAAGATGAATATTTGTATTTCTTATTAAAATTTTAAAAATAAATTGCAAATGCTTCACAATGAAGTTGCCAAATCGGGAGCCAAACTTACAAATTTTTGCAAATCCCTATTTAACTTATTACCACTAAAGGATCATGGAACTTTGTTGGTGTTCTAAAATTGGTTAGAACTTAATTTAAATTAATTAGTTCCCTTGAGATTTAATTGTCATCCTCCCAAAATAATACTCTTTCCAATTTCTTTTATAAGTCATCCATATCAACCTCACCAATACTAATACCAAAAAATATCAAAAATAAAAGTGTAAAAAATTCCAAATATATCTCTGTGTAAAAAATGCAAAATGTGATATTATGTTATTTTTTTATCTCCTATGAAAGGTAATTTTAGAAATATATTTAAATGCTGTACAAAAAATCACATCATGACTTATAAATAAAACCAAATGGATCTCCTAACATGTGCCTTAAAATGGGATTGGAGGAAATACTCCTTCCATCCTAACTTACAAGAAGTATTTTAACAAAATTTAATATATTAATAAATTTTATTAAATATATTTAACATCCTTAATTTTATTTAAAAAATAAAAATTTTCATAAACATTCTTCATTTAATATATTAAAAAAAGAGAGAAATGAAAATTAAACAATAATAAAACATAATATTAAAATAAATTCATTTTATGAAATATTAAATTTTTTAAAGTGTTTTATATTTTATAATATTAAGTTTTTTTTTATAAATGTTTTATAATATGAGATAGATAGAGTAATATTTCCTCTATGTTAACAACTGCTCCCTCTCTTGTCAATGGAAGACTGTCAAGTGTCATGTCGGCTTTTTGTTTTTGAATACATGGCCACAGTAAAAAACTGTACAGGAGGATCAAATCAGATCATGTCCAAAATCAAAAAGCTTCTACAATCATTAGGAACGTCATCTAAAATCATAGTGTCAAAATGGTCGCTAGAAACTTTATGAACTAGAAGATCTGCACAACGATTTGCTTCTCTGTAGACGTGATCCAGGGTGACCTTCCAGTTCCTCATGATGAGATTTCTGATATTTTTTATGATAGTTGAGAGCGGATGACCCTGAAATAGATTGCCATTAATGAGGGATATGGCCTCTGTTGAGTTGGTGTAAACATTAAGACTAGGAATTTTAGCATTCCAGCAGATGGTTAGGCTTTCTAGAATCCTAATAAGCTCAGCAGCTGTGATATGTTGGTAACCAAGGTTTTTAGTGAAACCTTTGATCCAGTTACCCTTGTCATCTCTTATGAGCCCTCCACAAGCTGCGGCACCATTTTGTTTGACTGAGCCATCAACATCAAGTCTCATCCATCCAGGCTTTGGAGGCTTCTAACTTGCTTCATGTCTGATATCTAAATTGTTCGGATGAGCATACTTGGATTGGAGCTGCATGTCAATTATAACTTGTTGGGTGCTAGAAAAGGCAATGTCTTTGTCCACAGTATCATCATCAGCAAAAATTTCCTTGCATCTTACTTTCCAAATGTTCCAACAGGCTTAGGCAAAAAGTTTCTTCCAAGACAATCCTCTGGTATAACTGCTTCCTGCTTCGCTGTTAGCATTCCAAATTATCCAGTCCTGCACAGGAAGAGAGAAAAAGTTATTATATTTGGAAGGGCTAACTAATTTTTTCCAAACCTTTTTAACTTCTTTACAATTTCGTAAGATATGAATAGAAGATTTAGGAGAGTTACAACCCCATCAACAGGTGCTATGCTGTATAGTATTTCCATTAGAGAGCATGACATTTATTTGTAAACGATTAAATAAAAGTCATGTCGGCTTTGAGGATAGTGATCCTCTCCCACATGTTTAGAGTTTTGAACCATCAGACATTGAGAGAGGGGAAGAGTAAAGAACTACTCCCTCCCTTTCATTGTATAAACTTTTTTTTTTTTCTGGTGACTTGAATTTTAATGTTTCATAATATAAGATATTTTTAAATATAATGATTTATTAATAAAATTTATTTTAAATTTTTTAATATTTCATTCTTTAAATATTTTCCCTCTCCGTATTTTTTAAATTTTATATTTCTTTTGAAAAATTAAAATTTCAAACTATGTTTAATTAATTTTATTAGCATTTACAATTTTATAAAACAATTTTACAAAATGAAAGGAGGGCATTATGTTTTAAAATATCCCCTTTGACCACAGTATAGGTTAATTTTTAAAAAAGTTTAGTTGTTGAAATTTTAATCTCTTAAAAAAAATTTCATCTTTATAATTATATTTAGAGATATTCTTGGCCCAATCCTAAAATAATTAAAGTTGATGGCCTCAACTCTTTTAAACCCTGAAACAATTAGACGGGCCACTACTTTAATAAAAAATAATAATAATAATCTTTTTAAGCTTGAAAATAAAAAAATTTTGTCCTTTTAAATTCATTTTTTATTTTTTTAATTTCAATATAAAAAAAATAAATTACTAAGTATTTAATTAACAAAATAAAAACCTTAAACTCATTCTCCCCTCCCTTATTCATTCATCAAAATTTAATGGATGATCCTAACAAAATTTAATTTTTATTAATGTTAATTTTGATATTATTATTTAATATTAGACTTATATATTTAAGTTTTAAATATTTATTATGGTTTAGATTGACTTAAATTTATTTTTCTGAACTTAATTTTATGTGTAATAATTTTTTTAAAATTATAAATATATATTTTTTATATTTTTAAATTGAAAAAAGAGACCTTCAACCTTAAGGGTTAAGGATGAGTTATGCAAAATGAAACTCTAAAATGTAATCAGGTTTATCAGAATTAATCTATTTAAACTCTAATCTTTTAAGAATTAGCTTTTTAGAATCATACTAATTAATAGCTATAATTATGTTTTTATTAAATATCCTGAATAACTGATTTAATAATAAATATTAAAATTTCAACATATCATCTTTTTACAAAATAATAAAGAAATAAAAATATAATTAAAAAATAATTATAAAAAATATTAAATACCTTATGCTAGAGACCAACAAAACAAGGCTTCTAGTCTAAAAAAGATGGGTCGAGTAGTCCAAAAAATTAACAACTGTGAAGAACACAGTGATGTAATTATCGACAACTCCAATGGTATTTTTCCCTCGGCCATGGCCGCCTATAAATGCCCCCAAACCTTGCCCGAGTCTTCGTCAATTCCACACTCTCCACCCGACTTTTCAACCGAAACTACTTTTCTCACAACGATGTCACCAGGCAGCGGAACCTGCATCAAAATCCGCCACATTGTTCGAGTCCGGCAAATGCTTTTACGGTGGCGAAAGAAGGCATCTGCGACGGGGTCTAGATCTTCTTCGTCGGATGTGACCGCCGGACATGTGGCCGTGTACGTAGGCGCCAGGAGGAGGAGGTTCGTCGTGCGGACGACGTACCTTAACCACCCGATCTTCAAGAAGTTTCTGGTGGAAGCGGAAGAGGAATACGGCTTCTGCACTCAAGGTCCGTTGACGATCCCCTGCGACGAGTCGCTCTTCGAAGAGGCCCTGCGAGCCATGTCCGGATACCCGACCCGATTCATGAGCCTCGATGATTTGCAGAAGCGTTGCCACGTGGATGCCTTCAGTAATTTCGATTTTGTTGGAGGAGAATCTCGGCCGTTGCTTCACGACGCGCCGATCTGTTGAAGCATCTTTCCGTTCTCCGCGACTTTGTGGCTCTGCACTTTGGGGTTTAGCTTGCGATTGATTAACCAACTATTTTTTTTTTAAAAAAAGGGATTATTTTGTAACTTTTCCCCTTGTAGTTTTATATGTTTAGGGAGTTTGTTGTACATGCTAGCAGTTGGCAAGTGCAAACCATGGTGTTCAGGCTTTGCAGTGCTTTTTTTTTTTTTTTGAAGAACGACAATTGAAGAGCATGTAAAAAAATTAATGTGAAATAAACATATTTGAATTATAAATTCTCTAAGTTTTAGTTGCAAGATCCTTGATATTTTTTAAAGGTTTTTATTTGTCATTTTCCCATCTTTTATACTGTCACTAATTTTTCAGCATTTTTTTTTGGTCAACACTAATTTTTTAGCCATAGTTCTCTAAAAATAATTTTATCAGCGCACTTTCTCATATTTAATTAATGGATTTACAGTTTTTAATTCTGAGAATTGAACTTACGGACTTCAAAAGCATGAAAATATTGAATTTTTTGTTGAATAATTTTCTATGAATAAAATAAATAGACACCTGAATGTAAGGCAGTAGAACTAGAAATGAAAGCATATGTGATATGTTGAGTCTGTTTGGTTATGTTGTCATTTTTCATTTTTAAAATTTATTTTATAAAACAGTTTTTAGAATTGTTTTAAAATAAAATAAAATAAAATATCTATTTGATTATGTTAATTTAAAAACAATTTTAGAATTAAAAATTAACTGATAATGTCAGTCATTGACAGCAAATAATGGTTCCTTGTGATAATAATTGATGATACTAACTGATCAAACTAATAGTAATTTTCAATAATAAAATGTAGTGTTTTTTGAAAATAATAAAAATAAAATTAAATCAATGACTTGAACATATTTTTGTTTTTTTGTCTTTTTAAAAAATAATTTTAAAAATAATTAAATCCAAAACACTTATTCAAATAAGTTTTTAAAAGTAAAAAACAAACAAACCCATTATCTCCTTTTCCTTTTGATTTTTCTTTTTGTTGTTGACGCAGCTGTATAGATTATGACAAGATTTATGAAACCCACTTATAATTAATTGCTTGTTTAAACCATCATCTCGATCAACTATTTTCGTGTATTCAAGATCAACTATTTTGTGCATATTTAAGATCATCTAATATATTTATTCAAAAAAAAAATCATCTAATGTATAATGATTTTCTTTCTTAAAAAAAATTAACATATATTTTGCGCTTGTGAAAATACATTCTCAGTGACAATCAATGCCTGTTATAAAACATAATTCCCAAATGGTGGGTTATAGTGTTTTTTCATAGAAGTGTTTAGGTCTAAAATGAAATAACATTTAGTTATAGCTTAAAACTATAAAAAGAAAACATCGAGTTTAATAAACCATCCATTAAGATAAGGCATGATTTATTTAATAAGAGACATTTTAAATTAAATAAGTGCTAAATTGTTAAAGAAATATGACACTTACACCTCGAAATGATTGAGTTAAAAAGACCATTATTTAAATATAGTACTATTATTTAGACGTGCCTTGAAATCTCGCAAGAATGTGCCTAGCAAGAGTGGATATTGAGGCATGAAGCAGTCGGCTCTTAGTTTTGCGGGATATAAAGACCTCAAATAAACATTATAAATAGAGCTCTAAAGACACTTTATTACTCATATTATTTTTTGTATTGCTTTGAACTTAGAATTCAGCTCTTATTTTAATTCCTTGTAATTCTATAATTTTTACACCATTAATCAATCTCCTTTCTTTATAATTGTCCCACATCTTTGCATCGGTGCAAATTATGATAAGGAAGTTTGATGATCCTTATTGATATTGTAATTCTGTGTTTCTGACATACTTGATATTTTTTAAAACCACAAACAAGAAAAATTTGCAAATACACGTGTATTTAAAATAGTTTACCAATTTCCAATAACTCTACAAGTTATTCCAAGTCGGGATTCGTCTAGACATAATTACAATTTTCACATTTATCTCAATCAGCAGGTAGCTGAGCTGGTAGAGGGCCATGTTAGTTCATTCAATAATTTCAAATTCAAACCATGTTAGATGTGTAATTGTGCTAAAAATTTGCTGGAAAAGTATGCTATTTTGTTCTTGCTTATGGAGTCCTATTTTTGTTTTTTTAAAAAAAACCACCAGTGTGGAGCAAATAAATTGAAAGTTTTATTACCAACTCAATGTTAGCATAAATGACAGGGACTATTATCACGTAAACAAGTAATTAGGATTTGAATCGTAGCTTTTATATATATAGCAATTTAGTTTCAAAATTTGGCTATTTTAATTTAGTATTTTGATTATAGTAGGTTGTAATGGACAAGGTAATATTGTTTTCACAAAAAGACTACATTATTGAAACTTGAAAAGTATAGAAAGAAAAAAAAATTAATCATTTAATCTTTATAATTTTGATTTGATTGTAACTCAATTCTTGAATTTTGATTTGATATAATTTGATCTTTATAATTTTGATTCGATTATAATTTAATTCTTAAATTTTGACTCTTGCAAATCAATCCTTATAATTCTAATTATTTAAAATATTGGTCCCTAGTTATATTTTAAAAATTAAAATTATGTTAAAATTCAGTACTAATATTTTAAATTACTAAACCTTTTTAATTTTTGTAAAGTTTATAAAGATTAAAACTTTAAAATAGTTTTAATTTTTATAATTTTATTTTGTAAAATATAAGGATAGATATTTTAATAGTTAAAATTATAAAGACTGAATAGGGATTGAGTTATAATTGAGTAAAATTATAATGAGTTAAAGTTTATGAATTAAATTATAATTTGATTAAAATTATAAATATCAAATGATTAATTTTATTAAACTATTGAGGATGCTGACAAGGATTTCTCTGTTATTGGTGTTTTAATAAAGCAACGTCAAGTCTCGTTCATGACTCATGGAATGAACTGTCCACATTATTACGTCAAAATCAAACACTAACAATTAGGTTTATGTATTTCCATTGATTTGATGCAGGAATTGAACTTGATAGGGATGTGTCTGCACTTTTGGGTTTTAATGACGTTGGTTTGGTTCCGTTGTCTTTACTCATGTGATTCTTAGCAAAACAGTTCCACTTTTCCTCGCTACTAGCTCGATAGTTCTTATTTTGTATCTTCAGAATCACGGTTTCACTTGAATTCACACTAGATTAATTACAAGTCTATTCACTATATTTATTTGTTTATTTATTTAATTATTTGTAAATCACGGGTTTAGTTGACTTTGCAGGAAAATAGTTTTGCTTCGATGGACCGTCAGCTTGTAAGCGACTTGAGTATTTTTAAACAGGGATTAGCTTAGCGATGAGACCCTATTAATTAAAATGGGGTTAGGTGGAACAACCTTTGAAAATGTTTATCATAAATTTGGCGTCTTAAGTAGAAAAAGTTTCTATGTATGCATGTCGATGGTTGTTTGTTTTTTCATTCTCATTCAAAGTACCTCATGTTCTGTCGTCTCTTTCATAACTTGTTACAACTGTCACTTGAAATTTGAAAAACAAGAGTTTTCCGATGGAAACTTGTGAGTACTACAATAATATCATGCATGACTAAAATATAGTAATTTTCTAAAACTTAGGATGCATGGACCAGGTAAATAGGACTTATTTGGTTCCTGTTTCTAAAAAATAAAAAAACTTTAAAAAACTTGTTTATATAAGTGTTATGGATTTAATTGTTTTAAATGTTTTTCTCAATTCTTAAGTTGTTTTCATTTTTTTAAAAAGCACACTATATTTAATTATTAAAAAAATATGGTTAGTTTGATCAATTTTTATAAAATAATTAACTGCTTCACCTTATTTTTTAATTCGAAATTTATTTTTAAATTAACATATCTAAATAAAATTTTTCATTTTATTTTGTTTTAAAAAATAATTCTGAAAACTTTATTTTTAAAAATAAAAAATTGGAACACAAGCCAAACATGCCCATACACACCCATACATGTATATTTATTTAATGTGTAATTAATTAATCAACTCATTACAAAATAAGAAGAGCGTCACATATTCTAAAAATTATGATAAAAATGCTAAAAAAATTATAAGCATGAATATAATAAATGAAACATGCTTCTATTAATAAATTTGCAGTAAGATTCTTAGTTTTCTTTAAATGTCGCTGCTGGCTACTGACAGTCTGAGAGGTTTAATTAACTTTGAGAATTGTTACTCTAGAGTTTTTATTCATTTTGGGAAATCTCCTACAAACTTTCACTCAATCTTTTTGGCATAACTTTCAAATTTTATCATTGGTCCCTTACGGGGCATTTGAAATGTTATCATTGAAAAGTTTACCCTTGACAATGACATTATGCTAAAACTATTTATCCACATTTCAACCCAAAAAAAAAAAAATTAACTTGCAAAATTGAGCGATGATATTATAGTTTTGGGGGAAAAACTTACCTGTGACTTTTCAAGGAAGTTATCTCAGCTTTATAAATACTTTTCTTTTCTTGATACAAGATGCTTTCAACTAAGATTAAAAGATACACAATTAGTTAAAAGTAATACGTATAACTCTAAAGTTATACAAAAAAATTACCATTCTTTTTCAAAATATTCATTCCGTCTTAAATTATAAAATATTTTTAAAGAAGATTCAGCGTCCCAAAATATAGGACTCTTTAATAAAAATAAAGTTTTATTAATGATACTTTTTCAATATTACCCTTTTCATATATTTTCTTTCTTCAATATTATTTTATCAATGGAATATTAAATAAAGATATTTTGAAGGTATTTTTAAAAGTTTATATTTTTATCTTAAAAAAATAAGATTGTAAAGTATATTTAATGAGCTTTATTAGTATGTGAGAATTTATTTAAAAATATCTTATAATTTGAGATAGAGAGAGTAATAAGCTAATTAAAAGTAATTTTAAATTAATCTCTCTGTCTTAAATTATAAGACACTTTTAAAAAAAATTTCATACACCAATAAATCTTATTAAATACACGTAAAAACCTTTTTTTTCAAAATAAAAATGTAAATTTTTTAAAATGCCATTCATTTAATAACCTTAAATTTACACTTAATTAGTATTAAATAGAAAAAAATGATAATATTTGAATAAGCCTATTTAATGAAACCTTAATCTTTTCAAAGTGTCTTCTATTTTGGGATGACAAATCTCTCCTAAAAGTATTTTATAATTTGATATGAAGGGAGTACTTTTTATTTCATTTATACATTATCACCAAATACAATACAGTTAATTTAAA